GTGAGGAAGGGTCACCGGACCCGAAACGTTAACTCTGTTTTTTCCTTCACAGATGCTGCCAGACCTGCTGAGCTTTTCCAGCAACTTTGCATGCTGACTCTGTGTTTCATTACATTATGTACTTTCAAATGTTGTGCTATTACATCCTTTATAATAGACACAAATATATTCCCAATAACAGATGTTAAGTTAACTGGCCTACAGTTACCTGTTTTTTTTGTGTCCTTCCCTTTTCAAACAAAGGTGTTAGATTGGCAGCTTTTGTGATGTTTCATAAACAGGCAAACTGTTTATGTGACATAATCTCCTTGAAAATTGGCAGTCTTTTGTATTGGTTTGATTTTCTTTTGACCAAATTGTCCTGAAAATGCAGGAAACTCCAGGTAAATATGTTTACTGCTGAGAATTTGGGGGAAGCCACATCATTTATGAAAACTCATCAAGAGATAGAATTGTGCAGCAACAAAATAAACATGCTGTGCTCCTTCAGGTCAATGGCAGTCTTTCTTGCTTTAAAGTACATAGCTTCTAATTTACTGACACAAATTTTATTATAGTGTTACATTTTTGAATCTTTTTGCCATTTAGCACAAAATAATTTGGGCTAAATTAGTTATGCATAGTGTATTCATGCAAGTTATATCTCAAAAATGCTGACATAGTAAAATTACTGTGATTATACCAGCAGAGAGAAGACTTTCCTAAGAAGACGGGACACGGTTATGGCTCTTTTCTGTAGAAAAGTGGGGTGTAATGTGATAGCCTGTTAAAACCATGTCCTTTCCCCACCCCAACACCACAGGTTCAATCATGACACATTCAGCACAGCCATCCTATTATCAGCTTCTTTCTCTGTCATCTCTGTCTCTCTTTTTGGGCTCTGTCTCCACTTTTCTATCTGCTCACTCCTCTTTACCCCCACCCCCTAGCTGTTATCAGTTAAGAAGCAGGGTCACTTTACTGCTTTCTCTCCACAGATGCTGTCAGCCCTGCATGGGTTTCTCCAGTAATTTCTGTTTCTGATTCACATCGTGAGAATCTGCAGTTGTTTGACTTATAATGTTATGAAGGGGTTTGTCAGGACAGATATCTGGATGTAAATGTAAGATATCACTAATATCTGAGAATGTGGAATTTGCTGTAGTAACAACTTGCATTTACTAAAGTACCTTTAAAGTAGTAAATATCTTCAAGATGCTTCACAGGAGTGTTGCCAAACAAATTTTGATGGTAAACCATGTGGAGAGATGGCCAAAACATATCCCCTGTAAAGCTTTTCCAAATGGCCCAAACAGAATCTGTAAGAATAAGTGTACCTGAAAGCAAAAATATCCTTTATCCAAGCTTCAGTTGTTCCCGGGATTTTCTGATGAAGGATACCCAGTCTGTATAATAACATTCATATGGAACGTATGTCATCTTCATGATAAGTCAATCTTTTGAGGTGATGAGAGTGAAATTTGAAGAAAGTTTGGAGGAAACATTTTGGGAAGTTGGGAGAGGATGGGAGCACAAGCATATGCTTTTGCCAACTTTTTTGAACTAACCCCAGTTTAGAAGCGCAGGAGCAGGAGTAGGTCATTCAGCCCCTTCAAGCATGCTCCCCTATTCAATGAGGTCATGGCTGATCTGTTGCCTAACTCCGTACCTACCTTCGGCCATATCCCTTAGACCTGGAATTCACTCAACCTCTGTCGTTAAATGTCACTTAATATTGAATCCAGGTTCTATTGAAATTTTTAAAAGGTTCTAATGGACGCATTCTTGATTGTGCACAAGAAATGTCGTTTTTACGTAATAAAACCAGATATTAAGACATAACCTGCAGCAAGTACTAGCCCAAAGCCCATATTTTCTTCCTTTTGTTATATTTTGATGACTATCGGGATTTATTTCCTTAGCTTAGATATAGTTTTGTAATGTATTTTTACAGTATACATCATATCACAGATGAGAATCCTGCACTTAAGATGAATACTGTATTGCCACCAGTAGTGGGAGTAGTTCCCCATTTGACACTGGGATTCAATTTATTTTGGAAAAACATTTGTCTGAAATGTATATGTCAAATTGAATTTGTTGTTAATAAAATAAAATACTCAAATTGCTGCTAGTAATTTTGACATTTAGGATTAAAATATTTTTACAATCATTAATATTTTAATGAATGCCTATTTTAGGTAAAAATTTTTTGAATGTAACATTTGTTCATTATAACATATTAATGGACAACTACCTTCATTAAAATACAAGTAGTTTAGGACCTTCTGCACAGTGATTATATGAAATACCTCGCTTAAATGAGGATAAATAAGTTGGAAGATAAAATCCATTTCTTTGTTTGCAATGACTATTTAAACCAAGTTAGCAACACTTATTCAAGCCAGCAGAACCACAAAGATAAATCATTACAGCCTTAAATTGAGTAATAAGTTATTCCAGCGTGCATCTAGATTCTGTGCTTTTTAAAGCATTGGCAACATCTTAAAAAAAAAAATATATGCTGCATGTGCTGACATTTTCCAGTTTTGTATACTTCACATCTTGATTTGGTCTCTCTTGCCCACCCTGCACACACCCTTATTGCTTCTCTCAAACTTCTCCATTTTTTTCAGTTTTCTGTGTTATCATCACAACTACATCCTTTTTCATAGCTTTGCTGCATTATGGATATTATTAAGCTGGAGAGGGTTCAGAAGAGATTTACCAGGATGTTGCCGGGAATGGAGGGTTTGAGTTATAAGGAGAGGTTGGATAGGCTGGGACTTCTGGAGTGTAGAGTTGAGGAGTGACCTAATAGAGGTGTTTAAAAGTATGAGGAGCATAGATAAGGTGAATGGCAGATGACTTTCCCCTAGGGTGGTGGAATTCCAGACAAAGGGGTGTATTTTTAAGGTGGGAGGAGAAAGATTTAAAAATGTCGTGGGGGCAACTTTTTTACTCAGTGGTTTGTGTATGGAATGAGCTTCCAGAGGAAACGGTGGATGTGGGTACAGTTACAAAGTTTAAAAGACATTTAGATAAGTCCATGAAAAAGAAATGTTTGGAGGGATATGGCCCAAGCACAGGCAGGTGGACGTGGTTTAATTTGGGATTATGGTCTGCATGGACTGGTTGGACCAAAGGGTCTGCTTACGTGCTGTAAGACTATATGACTCTAAGCTGAGAAACAGACATTTCTGTTTTTTTTGGAAGTGCAAAGAAAGCTTCAATGTATTTCTAAAGTGTAAGGAGCTATTCCCTGGTGGGGCATTTGCAAAGAAAATGCAGCAGACCGATGCAAAAGGTAAAAAGCTGAGCAGATGCCATCCAGAAGGTAGGTAGGAAACAGTGGTGGAGGACCAACGCAAGAGGCTATGAGCATTTGACTATAAAAGTGACTAAGGCAACTTGGTCTTGCCATTTAAAATGGAGAGTAATGCAACGACAACACTTAGCTTCAGATGTCTGAAAGCTTAGTGTAATAGGGTGAGTTGTATAACTTACAACTTGACACTACATTAGAATTGTATTTGCTTAATATTTTCTTGTAACTGCGAATTGTGCTCAGATCTCCTGTATAACTAATAGGAAGTTTGAGAAAATATTATTTTATAAGGAAGTGAACACATTGTGGTAGTTGTGACAGTATGAGGATATAGCATTTCAGAACAGTGGTTTTGTGATAATTTGAGATTGGTGTAAAAAAATGTTAAAGGGTTGAGCAAATGAAGAGTATGAGCAGTTTGGGAAAAGCAATGTATATCATCTGGAGACAAGATTGAGGATTTGCAGATCTGAATGGTAATTGAGGTAGAGTTACTGAATAGTGAAAGGAATTTGCGAGGGTAATTAGTAAGTTGAGGAAGAGAGTGTTCTATAGATAGTGTGAGCTGTTAAGAATTCAGTTATTGAAGTGCAGGTTTGTAGATTAAGTGATTAATATGTGAAAGGTATTTAGCATTGGTGTAATCAAGAATTGTGTGTGTGAGCAACTGAGGGAGGTGCCAGTAGGTTTGGATAGCAATTAGTAGCTCTTTGAGGGGTGATGGATATTTTAGATGTTGGGTAAGGGAACAACTTGGAGTTAGATAACTGGAAAACTGGTTATGTCGGGTGACATTTAGCATTAGTGAAGAGCTGAGGATGTGAGATTAGAGATGGCAGGTATGTTGCAAGCAGGCAATGGGTAGGTTTGGAAATAAGTATAGATGAGAAGTTGTGCTGGAAAAAGGATAGATCGCAGTTTATGAAAGGTGGTTACTGAGAAAGCAGCAGGAGAGCATTAAATAGCAATGTTATCAGCACAGTATGCTGATTTAGGATGAAGATGGGCAATTTGCAGAGGTGGAAGTAAGCAGACTTAGTGATGTGAAAGGATGTCAGGGTTGCATAGTATAATATGTTGTTTAGCCTAAGCAACCAGGAGGCTGATGTTATAAGTGGCATTGCATTTGTCAGTCACTGAAAACCCTGGCTTCAGTTTTGCAGTTGTTTGTGTGAAGGACAACTTGAGTTTTCTAAGACTTTTTGGAGAGGCAGCATAGCTGTGTGGATGTGATTGTCGGGTTGACATATTGTGGAAAGATGAAGCTTACTGTCATCAACATACATTAAAACACCCCATAAATTATGTCACCAGGAATAGTTGTGAAATAAAGGAGAAGGTGCAAATGAGAGATTCTTAATGGACACTTGATGAAAAGTTTGGGGGAAGGAAGAGAAACTATTCCTGGATTTTTCCAGTAGAAATGCTCCTGCTCAGTGGAGAGAACCAGTAGCAAGGTTCCCTCCATTGGGCAGGAGCATTTCTACTGGAGAAATCCAGAGCATGTCCAGGAATAATTTCTCTTCCTTCCGCTAAACTTTATCTGATATAAAAGCAAAAAGGTGAAAATGCAGTAAGTCCGAAATGAGATTTTTAAAAAAACTGGGGGAGAAAATAGCAGGTGGGGCAACATCTGTAGAGGAAACCAGAGTTAAATTTCAGGTATGGAATATTAATTCTTTTTCTTTCCACACACTACCCGACCTGCTAAATTTTTCTAGCTTTCTTTGTTTTGTTTCTGATCTTGAACTGTTTTGGTGCTGTAAGGTGAATAGAAATTGGGCTGAAAAGGTTTCAACAGGAAGTTACAGCAGAGATGGAGACACAGCTGAAATGCAATCATGCATTTATGGAAATTATAGAAGAAAGGGAAGTTCATTTCTTTTTCTGCATAGAGTGATAATTAAGCTGATCTTTAAAGGAAGGACAGAAATGCCAGAGGAAAGTGAATTGCTCACCATGTTTGCTGGGATGAAGGCAAGGAAGTGTAATTGAGTGATCTGGAATGAGGATGGGTTCAAGTGAGTAGAAGGTTGGTCTCTGTGAAGATATGACGATGGAAAGAGTAAGGAGAATTAAAGGAGAGAAACTGTGGTGATTTCAGTTCAGAGCTAAGGTGTTTGGAAGATGATAGAGGTGAAGAGGAGAAAGCAGAGTCTACTGCATGGAGTCTCAATCATAGCATTGAAGAAATCTAGGGGCTTTGAGCTTGAGTGTAAATAGGAACTTATGATCTTCGGATAGTTTGTGAGTTAGGCTGAGGGAAGTGATGCACAGTAAAATTTGTGTTCCGAATCTGACAATTAATGTCTTGGTTTGTTATATGTCAGTTGTGCTTTTGGTTGTGCCACTGATTTAAGGGTAGGGCAATAAATTTATAGACAGTAGGGATAGAAGCCAGTAATCAATTTGTTAGAAACAAGAACTTTGGCTACAACGTTAGCATATATTGATGATGGAAGCTCAGTGCAAATAGCC